ACTTCAGTTAATGAAGTAAATGTGTTGCTATGTGCATTACTGAAAATTTCGTACTGATACAGAAATGATATGGGGGAAAAAATAGATAGGCTCCTACATAACAAACAACAATAAAAAAGCATGTCTATATGTTTCAGGAACCTTTTCAGTCAAAACTGACAATATTATATGCACATGTAAAATGAAAGAAAAGTTCAGGTACGCCTTGGATAAGTAAACCATTTTTCTTTCTCCAGCCTCCACCTTTTTATTATTTCCATTATGATGGCCAAACTTACAGATATGCTTTTTAAACATGGCGATATAGCTGATCAAACAGGTTAATCTGCTCTCCACTTTTCTTCCTGTTGGTTGCTGTTCACACATGCTCAGAAAGGGATTCTACAGGCAGGTAATATTTGCCTAGTCTGTTGCACCCCACTGGTTACTTCTCTCCAGGATGAAGAGGAGTCATTGGTGAACACCCTTTGGGTTCAGTCAGTCAACCAACTACAAATCCACCTAACAGTTGCATTGTCTAGCCCAGTGATGGTGAACTTTTTAGGGGCTGAGTGCTCAAACTAAGGGCCTTTGCAGACTGCTGGAAATAGTGCAAATTGAGTCCACTTTGGGTTAGGGAATCATGGGAACTGTATTTTATTGTGGCACCAGAGCTCTCTGACAGAGAAGGCTCAATGTGTCAGAAAAAAACAATTCCCATGATTCCCTAGCCTCCTGAGAGTGCGCACCTCTTCCTCCTCCTCCCTGCCCTCTGCGTACCAGGGAAAATGGTTTCATGTCCTCCTATTTGTCCTCCTCCAGTCTGTTGGGACCTTTGTGAACTATCTTGAGTCCCAGGACTGAGAAAATTTTTATTATAACACTATTGCCACTGGTGGTAGTAGTAATGAGCAGACGAATGGTGGTGGTGATGACAATGACTGCAATGATGATAACTGAAATCTTGCACAAAGAAAGGCTTTCTGTATTTCTTGGTTTTATCAGCGTAACAGCACTACTCACAGATGTCTTTAATTAACATTATTAATATCTCATGGAGCTCAGAGCAACATCAGTCTTGAAAGAAACATGAAACTGAACAGAATAAACCAAAGATTGACCTGACCTCTGAGGAGAAAATGCAGAACCTAACTGTTCCTCCTAACTTCTGCATAAAACTTAAAAGCCTTCTAGTACAGAGGCTTTCTGTGCTGACTCTTAAAGAAGCAGTAAGCAAAATGGGCTACTGGGTGACACTCACATAAAAAACAAGTGCAGTAAAGTTGTTAAGACAACAATAAAAATAATAGAAACCTTAGAAACTGACAAGTCTAGCAAAGCTAAAGCATATTGGAGTGTCTGTGCTAACTAAAAAATAAATATATTTGCATTGTTACCCAAAAAAAGTGGAGGGAACCTGGGATCCCCATCAACTGTATCAGCATCTCCTTAAATATTTGGGAAATTGTTTAGCTCAAAAGAGGGCAGCAAGAGACGAGTAACTGGGGGGATCATTTCATCTATGTATCCCAGTACTACTGGCAGGACTTCAAATTTGGTCAATAAGGTTTTATTTAGACATAAAATAAATATACTGTATCAGTTCAATCTGTAACATCATATAAGGCTAACTGAAATAGAGGTTTGGAAAATTGGATAGTATAAGCTTAGGGTTTAGCAAGGGTGATGTTTATCAGTTCTGAAGATGAATCCATAAAAAAGCAGACTGTGGCTCAGACAGCATCTGAGGGTGATATAGGAAGCTCTGGACAGTTGGACAGAGCTCTGGTGTTCACAAATTGGACTTGTGCAGGATGGATATTTATATGCTGTTACATATCATCGAAGGGTATTTAACATATCCACTCGAAGTACAAAGAGTTTGATTGCATGGCATAGTGGTTTCATTGTTAGATTATGACTCTGGAGACCAGGGTTCAATTTCCTGCTTGACCATGAAACCCACTGGGTGACCTTGGACAAGTCACATATTCTCAGATTCACAGAAAAGCAATGGCAAATCTCCTCTGAACAAATCTTGCCAAGAAACCTCATGATAGGTTCACCTTAAAGTTGCCATAAGTTGGAAACAACTTGAAGGCACACAACACACACACAAATCCAGACAGATTCTCAGTCATGCTCTGTGTCAGGTCCAAAACCTATGCTAGTCCTGAGCAGGTGCTGATATTTTCTTCCCCATTTGTTTCAGTTAGAGGGCTTTAAAATAACATACAAACCACTGAAACATAAAAGGTTAAAACAACAACAATCACCCTCCCTATTTTCTGCCTTTGCTATTGTCACAATGGATCTACAGATAATGTCCTCTCCCCAGCCACATCTGCAAATAGAATTGCTTTGTTAGGCTACATTCCTGTGCACATGGTCTCATAAAACATTGCAAGATTGGCTTCTGAATAAATATCTATAGGATTAGGGTATTAAAGTGATGATGACACATAATCTTTTCTTACACTGCATACATTACCAACCTTTATCCCAAACTATAATGTCAGTGAAGGCACATGTAACATGTTTAAAGCAAAGTGGTCTCACCAGATTTCAGAGTATGGACAATTTGCCTTTTTTAAATTACAGCTCCCAGAATCCCTTGGATTGGACATAGCTACCACAAATTATGCAGCCATTTCCTGCATTTGGGAAAATCGCAGGGGTCAGCATACTCGGAGTGCAATAGTCTGGGAACTATAGTCCAAAAATTTACTTTTCCATGTTCTGCTTCAGGTGATGTATGTTCGCCCTATTTGAGATGTTGGGGGCAGAAAGAAGCTGATTATGAATACAACTGATTGGGTCATACCTGTGAGATCACCAAGCCATCTCATTTCCCAATTAGAACAGTTTTGGAATTTCTTTTCAATTATCTGGTAGTCTGGTTAAAATAAGGTAAGAAATAATCAAACATTTAAATGAATAACTGTATCTATAGTGGTCTAGTTTTTTTATAGCATGAATCCCAACTGAAGGAGAAAGGAGGGGCAGGTTAGCAGTGAAACCAGCGTTCAGTTTGCTACTGTGCACGTCTTATTTCAGTTTAAAATTCACACAATAGCTGTGGCCTCCCCTATGAGTTTTAACCAAGAGGTTAAGCACTACATTTACTCACATTCAGCCTTTTCCCTTTGTCTCTTCCATCCTTCCCTTCTATCTGACGACCTGATTTTGTCTTTACTTATGTGGTGAAATACCAGTAAAAATGCTAAAGAAATGCCACTGCCCAAGTTCCACCATGACAAGGCCCAGAAGCAGATGAAAAACCCTCCCTCCAGAGGAAAAGAAGAGGAAATATCTGCTGGACTTTATCCCTCCTTCATTGCCATCTCTTTTCTTTGTATGTTGTGTCTTTCCTCACTTTTAGAAACCTTTAATTGTACAGATAAAACTCTTGAGCAAAATTATTTTGTTCACAGTGTGAAAAATGGTCCTTTGCAGGGCTGCTCCAGAGAAGGGGGATGAGGGAGTGGGCGAAGCAGCTGCCTCACAGTGGCTGAAGTTGCCTGGAGCGGAGGTGCCTTTTGGGGTGGGGGGCAAGAGAGCCCCCAGATGCACCAGGCAGGAGCTCTGGGTCCATCTGCTCTTTACCCTCCAAGCCCCCTTGTATGTTGTGTCTTTATATTGTAAGCCTGTGAGCAGGGAACTGCTTTTATTTTTTCTTGTAAAGCACCATGCACAATGAATGATGCTAAATAAATAAAATAGATGTGCTGAATGCATTTGCAAATACACTCGTTCTTTCACATTTGTAGCTTTGACTTTTGTGGATTTGATTATTCACAGATTTTATGAATATGTTCTCTGTAGGAATATCTAGGTCCTCCAGCGCAACTCTATGGCCAATTTTAATCAGAAGTCACACTGAAGGACCTAGAGATTCCTAGAGAGAACACTCCACTAGCCATTTGTAGCTCCTCCAGCGCAATTCTGTGGTCAATGTCTGGCAGATGTTGACCTCAGGGTTGCACTGGAGGACCTAGAGATTCCTAGAGAGGTGTTCTTGCAGGTAAAAACATAGTGTTTTTGTTATTTGTGGTTTTTCCACATTCAGGGGGTCCTGTGCCCCTAACCCCAGCGAATGTGGAGGGACAAGTGTATTTCATAAACTGCAATAAAAACAACTTTTCTGCCATTGAAGAGAAAGGTAACATGAAATAAAAACAAATTTTAGATAAGAAATTTAAGTTAAATACTAAAAATTGATTTTGGAGTGTAACAGTTGTTTGTCAAAGTGGTAGACTCCCTAGCTGAATGCTGCAATTTGAGTCATGGTTTCAAAGAAGAGGCTTGATCAGAGAGGAGTGCTCTGAGCCTGGAGTCCCTTGTTGAGGCTGTAACACACTCACTGCTGGCCAACCCTGTTCAAGAAACCAAGCTGGTAATAGCCTGGTATGTAATAGGCTGGGTACATATTTTATACTTCTATGCAAGGCTGGTCACTAGCATTTTAATTAGATTTCCAATGTTGTGTTTATAAATAAATCTACAAAGGTCAGTCGGTGGAATTTATCCTTCCCTGCAAATATTAAACTTTAAATATGTTTTATTATTGATATTTTATGTTCCATTTTTAAAACTGAAATGCAATGGGAATGCTGTTTTGACAAGCAATGAGATTATGATCTTTTGTATAACTTTTTGTGGTTGGTGACTACTAACTTGTGTCATACTCCATCTGCTTAGGCAATAGTAGTAAACTTTTGGCAATTCAGAATGTGGCAGATGAGGGAGATGGTATTAAGTTTTGCAGCTGAGTGACAATAGAGGCCATGTAAGTGCTTCAAGAACTGCTAATACTTTCCTGCTATTAGCATTGCCCATCTAGGTGTATGTGCAACATATATATTTGCAGACGGAGCATATGTCTGTGGTGTGTTTGCGAACCTGTGTTTGTGTGTATTATTTTTGTATGGATAAATCATTAGCAAGAAAAAAGCTTAAGCGGGCCTTGAATGTTACAAAGTGCATGCAGAAGAATCCAGATTTAATCCATGGCATCTCCAATTAAAAGGATTAAGCGGCAGGTGATGGGAAAAACTTCTGCCAATCAGTATACAGGCAGGTCTGGGCTAAATGAGCAAACAGCCTGAGCTGGTATAAGAGAGCTTCATAAATTCCTAAATCTGCAAAGATGTACCCCACAAAATATATTTCTTGCTGTTAGTTTTAAACAAAGATTGCAATTGATGTATCTGCAGTCATTAACTCTACAATGTATCTAGATAATCCAGTTAAACTGAGCGTCCAGCTAATCCAGTTCACATCTTCCTTTGCCATTTACTCCATAATGTGTCATGCCTCGCATTACCAACCATGAAACCGAAACAAGAGCAAAGCAGTACATTGGAGCTCCATAGAGTCCCTGGCATTCTTTAAAGAGTTCTTACCCTCTTGTTATTTGGAAGATCATTTGATAGACCTGATTGAATGCCCAGAATCCTGTTAGTGTCTTACACATGTAAATTCTTGTATGGAAGCAGTTGGAGATTTTTGTCTGATCTAGAATTTTTTGTTTTTATTGTTCTTTACTGCCCTCAAGTCGTTCTTGACCCATGGCAACCCTGTGGATATCTCCAACACTCCCTGTCCTCCGCTGCTCTGCTTAGTTCCTACAAATTCATACCTGTGACCTCCATAATAGAGTCCATCCATCTAGCATGTGACTTTCCTCTCTTTCTGTTTCCCTCCATCTTCCCTAGCATTATTGTTTTTTCCAATGAGTTGTGCCTTCTCATGATGTGTCCGAAGTACGACAGCCTAAGTTTTGTCATCTGGGCTTCCGGGGAGATTTCTGGCTTGATCTGCTCCAGGGCCCATTTGTTTGTCTATTTGGCCATCTACGGTATCCTCAGTGCTTTTCTCCAGCACCACATTTTGAATGAATTGATTTCCTTCTTATCTTCTTTCTTAACTGTCCAGCTCTCACATCCATACGTGGTAATAGGGAATGCAACAACTTGTATGATTCTAGTTTTTGTGCTCAGTTTTATATCTTTGCATTTTAGGATTTTTTCTAGTTCTTTCATAGCTACCCTCCCCATTCTTAATCTTCTGATTTCTTGGTTGCAGTCCCCATTGCTATCAATGTTTGATTCCAGGTATGATAACTTTAATGCCCACATTCAATTAAAGGTTGTGGAAACAGTTGTGCATCCAGTATCATTGCTCATATGCATGTTTTGTGTATTTGGTTGTACATTTGCTGTCTTGGTTCTGTTCTGCAATATTGCCATTCAACACAAAGTTTAATTAAGTACTGTTAATGTGTAACTCCACATGTGAAGATTTACACTACAGAACTCCACAGTCTGATCTTGGAAGCTAAGCAGAGTCAGCCCTGGTTAGTGCTTGGATGGGAGACTGCCAACGAATACCAAGTGCTATAGGCTATATTTCAGAGGAAGAGACTGCCAAAACCACCTCTAAGTATTTCTTGCCTAAGAAAATCCTATGAAAATCATGGCATTGTCAAAAGTCAACAGGTGACTTGAAGATGTGTGCACACACAACAGAGAGTGAAAACTAGAGGGCTCCTGTACCTTCAACAGCTGTGTAGAAGAAACTTCAGCTGGTGTTGCTTGTCCCAGAAATAGATGAAATTCCCTTCTACAACTATTAAAGTAACAGCAGCCCTCTCCAGTTTTAACTTTTGCAACCCTAGGGTTTGTTTCAAAATGATTTTAAAATTGCATTAAATGGGACTCATCCCATTCAGTTTTAATTTCCTCTGAAAGAAATAGCATGAGTAATGGATGGGTGAATGAGTTCATTTATCAACATTCACATTTGTATTTATTTGTACTCACTTAGGCTTGTCATTCTTTACCGAGTGGTAATAGGAGTGGAACTGATTTTGATGACAACTAGTTATTTTTCCAGACTGCCCTCGGCTGTGCATCATTCTGGGACATGTTGGAGGAAAGGATGACCACTTTGTT